CTGCAACACAAACACTGATGTTAACACTCTGCAACACCAACAACACACATATAAACATTGATGTTAACACAGAAGGTAAACACAACGATAAACACGTTAATGTTGATACACTTCAATGTTCTTGAAGACAGCAAACACAAATACGGATGTCCCAAGAGTCTACAACACACAGTGATGTCCTAAGAGTCTACAACACACAGTGATGTCCTAAGAGTCTACAACACACAGTGATGTCCCAAGAGTCTACAACACACAGTGATGTCCCAAGTCTACAACACACAGTGATGTCCCAAGAGTCTACAACACACAGTGATGTCCCAAGAGTCTACAACACACAGTGATGTCCCAAGAGTCTACAACACACAGTGATGTCCCAAGTCTACAAGAACACACATTGATGTCCCAAGAGTCTACAACACACAGTGATGTCCCAAGTCTACAAGAACACACATTGATGTCCCAAGAGTCTACAACACACAGTGATGTCCCAAGAGTCTACAACACACAGTGATGTCCCAAGAGTCTACAACACACAGTGATGTCCCAAGTCTACAAGAACACACATTGATGTCCCAAGAGTCTACAACACACAGTGATGTCCCAAGTCTACAAGAACACACATTGATGTCCCAAGAGTCTACAACACACAGTGATGTCCCAAGTCTACAAGAACACACAGTGATGTCCCAAGTCTACAAGAACACACATTGATGTCCCAAGAGTCTACAAGAACACACATTGATGTCCCAAGAGTCTACAAGAACACACATTGATGTCCCAAGAGTCTACAACACACAGTGATGTCCCAAGAGTCTACAAGAACACACATTGATGTCCCAAGAGTCTACAAGAACACACATTGATGTCCCAAGAGTCTACAACACACAGTGATGTCCCAAGAGTCTACAAGAACACACATTGATGTCCCAAGAGTCTACAACACACAGTGATGTCCCAAGAGTCTACAACACACAGTGATGTCCCAAGAGTCTACAAGAACACACAGTGATGTCCCAAGAGTCTACAAGAACACACAGTGATGTCCCAAGAGTCTACAAGAACACACAGTGATGTCCCAAGAGTCTACAAGAACACACAGTGATGTCCCAAGAGTCTAAAAGAACACACAGTGATGTCCCAAGAGTCTAAAAGAACACACAGTGATGTCCCAAGAGTCTACAAGAACACACATTGATGTCCCAAGAGTCTACAAGAACAAGGTAAGACTGACATAAACATACCGATAACAGTAAGTGGCCGTCATGTTCAACGTGTCAATACGAGAGAGAGAGAGAGAGAGAGAGAGAGAGAGAGAGAAAAGAGAGAGAGAGAGAGAGAGAGAGAGAGAGGGAGAGGAGAGAGAGAGAGAGAGAGGAGAGAGAGAGAGAGAGTAGAGAGAGAGAGAGAGAGAGAGAGAGAGAGAGAGAGAGAGAGTTAGAGAGAGAGAGAGAGAGAGAGAGAGAGAGAGAGAGAGAGAGAGAGAGAGAGAGAGAGAGAGAGAGAGAGAGAGAGAGATTGTGGTGTTTAACATGTTCAATATTTGGTGTGTCAAACACGAGGTTCTGAACCATGGAGGTCACAGTACTTCGGTGTGTCAAACACGAGGTTCTGAACCATGGAGGTCACAGTACTTCGGTGTGTCAAACACGAGGTTCTGAACCATGGAGGTCACAGTACTTCGGTGTGTCAAACACGAGGTTCTGAACCATGGAGGTCACAGTACTTCGGTGTGTCAAACACGAGGTTCTGAACCATGGAGGTCACAGTACTTCGGTGTGTCAAACACGAGGTTCTGAACCATGGAGGTCACAGTACTTCGGTGTGTCAAACACGAGGTTCTGAACCATGGAGGTCACAGTACTTCGGTGTGTCAAACACGAGGTTCTGAACCATGGAGGTCACAGTACTTCGGTGTGTCAAACACGAGGTTCTGAACCATGGAGGTCACAGTACTTCGGTGTGTCAAACACGAGGTTCTGAACCATGGAGGTCACAGTACTTCGGTTTGTGTCAAACACGAGGTTCTGAACCATGGAGGTCACAGTACTACTGTGTGTCAAACACGAGGTTCTGAACCATGGAGGTCACAGTACTTCGGTGTGTCAAACACGAGGTTCTGAACCATGGAGGTCACAGTACTTCGGTGTGTCAAACACGAGGTTCTGAACCATGGAGGTCACAGTACTACTGTGTGTCAAACACGAGGTTCTGACCATGGAGGTCACAGTACTACTGTGTGTCAAACACGAGGTTCTGAACCATGGAGGTCACAGTACTTCGGTGTGTCAAACACGAGGTTCTGAACCATGGAGGTCACAGTACTTCGGTGTGTCAAACACGAGGTTCTGAACCATGGAGGTCACAGTACTACTGTGTGTCAAACACGAGGTTCTGAACCATGGAGGTCACAGTACTCCGGTGTGTCAAACACGAGGTTCTGAACCATGGAGGTCACAGTACTTCGGTGTGTCAAACACGAGGTTCTGAACCATGGAGGTCACAGTACTACTGTGTGTCAAACACGAGGTTCTGAACCATGGAGGTCACAGTACTACTGTGTGTCAAACACGAGGTTCTGAACCATGGAGGTCACAGTACTTCGGTGTGTCAAACACGAGGTTCTGAACCATGGAGGTCACAGTACTCCGGTGTGTCAAACACGAGGTTCTGAACCATGGAGGTCACAGTACTCCGGTGTGTCAAACACGAGGTTCTGACCCATGGAGGTCACAGTACTCTCCTTGCTACAACTCACACTTGAGTGTTTCTCCATGATATAACTAATGCTCAACACTTGCACTCAAGTTCCTGGTCTATTTCTCTTCTCTCCATTCTCTATTCGTCGTCTTCTATTCAGTTCCAATCGTGTCCTTCTATTCGCCATATTCTTCAATCTATTATCCTCTCCTATTAAACTTCCTATTCTATTCACCCTGTTGTATTCAACCTGCTAATAATAATAATAATAATAATAATAATAATAATAATAATAATAATAATAATAATAATAATAATAATAATAATAATATATCTATTTCCACATGATACAACTTATACAGACCATAGCTCACACCACTGACATACTGCTACATAGAAAGTCCCTTGTTATGCTGAGCATTTCCCGCAAATTAGGTCAGTTTTGCCCCAGGATGCCACCCACACCAGTCCACTAACACCCAGGTACCTATTTTACTGCTAGGTGAACATGGACAGCAGGTGTCTTAAGGAAATATATCTTAATATTTCTACCCGTACCGGATATCGAACCACGGACCTCAATGTGTGTGATGAGTGAGGTAGCAGTTGAGTTACTGGCATTGACTACAACTGCCAGTTTCATTTACCACTGGAAGTTTTCAACTTCCCTGACCACCAGGAGGCCTGGTCACAGACCGGGCCGCGGGGGCGTTGACCCCCGGAACTCTCTCCAGGTAAACCACTGTCTACCATGTTAGGGGTATTGTTATTGGATTTTAGGGCCGCGACGGATTGCACCGTACGAACCCTGCTTAAAAGATCCCGTCGTTCCTGAACCAGAAAGATAAGATAAGACTTCGTTCGGATTTTTAACCCCGGAGGGTTAGCCACCCAGGATAACCCAAGAAAGTCAGTGCGTCATCGAGGACTGTCTAACTTATTTCCATTGTGGTCCTTAATCTTGTCCCCCAGGATGCCACCCACACCAGTCCACTAACACCCAGGATGCCACCCACACCAGTCCACTAACACCCAGGATGCCACCCACACCAGTCCACTAACACCCAGGATGCGACCCACACCAGTCGACTAACACCCAGGTACCTATTTGCTGCTAGGTGAACAGGACAACAGGTGTAAAGAAACGTGTCGAAATGTTTCCACCCGCCGGGAATCGAACCCGGGCCCTCCGTGTGTGAAGCGGGAGCTTTAGCCACCAGGCCACCGGGCCACCAGTAAAAGTCCTTATCTCTCAGACCTTCACACCCACAAAGCCGGGTTGATAACCCAAGATAGCAGTGAAGGTGAGTGGCAGCGGTGATCCCGGAAGATAACACAGAAGATTATCAGCTTCAGAACTAAAGGTGAAAGAGGTGAGGGGGTGGAGGGTCACCACAAGACAAAATATAGTCGACCAAAGGTGTTATTACTAAGTTTAATTCATTCTTATTTGTTTGTTAAGATCCCTGATAATGCTACGACGCTTGTAGAGGAAAGACGGAAACTGACAACCAGGTGTGGCATAACTAATGAATGTAGTTATAACCAGTGAATGTAGGGAGTGTTATAACCAGTGAATGTAGGGAGTGTTATAACCAGTGAATGTAGGGAGTGTTATAACCAGTGAATGTAGGGAGTGTTATAACCAGTGAATGTAGGGAGTGTTATAACCAGTGAATGTAGGGAGTGTTATAACCAGTGAATGTTGGGAGTGTAATAACCAGTGAATGCAGTGAGTGTTATAACCAGTGAATGCAGTGAGTGTTATAACCAGTGAATGCAGTGAGTGTTTCACAGCCACTTACTAACAGTGAGTGTTCAACCACCTTGTCAAATCTGTGAAGTTGTCCTCTTGAAGACAGGGAAGGGGGCTGAGAAGTCTTGGTCCCTTTACACTTACTGGGTATCTGTTATTGTACTCACTGCACTCCAGGTTTATACTGGAGGTACTTATGGCATATCACAAATATTAAATATTAAATTCTTGCAAGGTATATAACAAATGCTACCAAACTCTACTGTGGTTGGTAGCACATTCAGGTCACATCCTGAATGTCCTGGCATCGATCCCGATATACCTTTGATGAGTTCCGGGAGTTTTTGTACTCCCGGAGCCCGGCCATGGGTCAGGCTCGTTTGGTGCTTGTCTGGTCAACCAGGTTGCTGCTGGTGGTGGCACGTTGGCCCACATATCCATCACAGTCTGGTTGACACTTGGTGAAGATACTTGTCCAGTTTACTCTGGAAGACTTCTACACTTGTTCCAGCAGTGTTTCTGATATCTTCTGGTAAGATGTTGAACA